CATCACTTGGGTAGTGGGGCTTGATCTGGTTCAGGGTGGTTGGTGATTACACCTCTTAAACAGTTACTTCCAAACCTACCCTTGAGTTCCTCGGGCAATCAGTGACAGTAGTTTTCTCCTAAGAGGAGGGATGGAGATTTTCTTTCTGTCACAATTCTCAGGCCAATTTTGTTTTAGTAGGTGGGACACTGTCCTTAGTCTCTGTTGTGAAAGTCAGGAAGCTGCAAAGTAAACTCCTAGTTCTAGGGATTTGTAGCCAGAATGAAGCCCCTGCAGTTGCCTGAAAATCAGCTAACAGTCTAAGACTCCCAGGTGCAGAGACATGCCCAGTGCAGTCCTCCCGGACACCGTGGCTGGTGGGAGGTAAAGTTTATGGCAAAAATCACCATTTTTCAAAAGCACGTGCACTAGTGTTCTGCAATTGATTTTGCAGCCAGCGCCAATGTGATCTGAATACAAAATGTGGAAATAAATCCCCAGGCTTGAAAGGCTGCCTGCCAACTTCATCATTAGGGACCACTGTGCAGGAGGGGTTTACCTAATTGAATATTTTCCAGTGTTTGGCCATTTCCTAGTCTGGAAAGAGCCCGAGGTGTGAGTTTGGGAAATCCCTCTTCATTGTCTCAAATCTAGCACAGTTTGGCTTGACAACTTAGCAAAATAAAAAGCTCAGAAAGAAGTTGGGTACTGACCTGCACTATCCGTGACCTAAAGTTAAACTTCTCTGCAAAGAAAAAACAAAGACCTGGGTGCCTCAAGGTAATGCTGAGTCTACAGCCAAATAGGGCACTTTAGAACTGATTTGTGTTTTAGGAAATTAGTCTTGGGGCTCAGGGCAGGCAACCCCAAAATATCCCACAATGGCATACTGATTATTTTGAATTAAAGTTACTTGTGAAGCTAAAAGGACTTTCTGACCCTCCTGTCTCTGTTCCCCTGAAAGCAGGAATGAATCTCCCATGTGAAAGGTGCTCCCCCTGCATCCTTGTCACCAGAGCTAGGGGATTGAGGGCCGAGAAGCTGCATAAACAAACCTTGCTAATTTACTATCTCATCCTAAATTCCCCACTAATTACATGCCCCACACCTAAGTTTCTTTGTCCTGTCAAGTTTTCACAAATTTATGTTTCTTGGTGTAAAAGATATATATCCTGGCTGTTTTCTTCACTCTCTGAACATCATTTCTTTATGGTCTCCAAAAGGTATGTAGTAAACTTGGTTTTTCTCTTGTTAATCTGGTCTTGTGTCAATTTTACTATTAGTCCAGCCATAAGAACCTAAGAAGGGAAGAAAGGGGATTTTCCCTGCCCTGACACTATTTCATATCTCAAAGTGCTCCAGAAATCCATAAGAAACTCTGAAAGTTGGCTATATTTCCTGATGACATAAAAGAGATATCAGGAAAAGGAGAGACCAAAAGATTTCTGGAGTCCTTTACCTGTGAAATAAGATCAAAACACAGAAGCTTTCTTTTCTGTATGTACCAGACTGCCCTGTTCCCCCTCTAGGGAGGGACATGCTATCTAAGTTAGGGGCCAATAAGCTGGGAACAAGATAGAGATCCAAGCCCCTAAAACTTGGGGAGTTGAGCTCATGGCCCTATTGCAAGATACACCAGCACCTGAGAGAGAAGAGGTTCCCCTATCACTGGCCCCAGTGAAATAATATCCCTTGAAGGCAGAAGCCATAAGAGGACTCTTTCCTGTAATCAATAGGCTTTTGAAACAGGGATTGATCAGGAGATTCCCATGGAACACACCCATTTCACCCATTAAAAGGCTATAAACAGAGGAATGTAGATTTGTTGAAGAACTTAGGGCTGTCAATGCTATGCGGTGCTGGATTTAAAAGATGCTTTTGGATCCTCACCCCCACCACCCCCAGGTGATGTCTGATCACCCTTCAGCAGGAATCCTGATAGGATGTTGTGATATTGTGATTTATAATCAGAAATGTCTTCATTTCATTTCTGGCACAGAACTCCTAAAACCCTTGTCATTTCTGATATAAGGGGCATCTTTTGTTATAACAATTATTTTGTCCTTGGTTCCTGAAATAACTCCAGAGTAATAAAGGTGAAACGGGTTCTCTTTGTTATCTATAAGAAGCCCCTTTCATAAATACACCTGTATTTATGTAAATAAGGTGACTTTTGGAAAGCCCCTAAGGGTTGAGGTTGGTAGTCAGGGGAACAATTGTGTGATTAGAGAGTTGGGACTTTCAGCCCCATCCCCCTCCCTACATCTCCAAGGTGGGGAGAGGGGCTTAACATTGAGCTCAATATGAGGTTCAGAGGGCTTCTGGGCTGTGAACATAGGGAGACTCGGGAGAGTGCCATGCCCAGAGAGAGCGTGGGAGCTCCACATCCTTCTCCCACATATCTTGCTTTATGCATCTCTTCCATCTGGCTGTTAAGTAAAATGTTTTCCTGAGTTCTATGTGTCACTCTATGAAAATCGTTAAATTGAATCCAAGGGAAGCGGGTCATGGGAAGTTCTGGTCTGTGGCAGGTTGGTCAGAAGCACAGGTGACAACCTAGACTTGGAATTGGTATCTAAAATGGAAGCCAAAGGGTAATCTTGTGGGATCTGATGCTATCTCTAGGTAGATAGTGTCACAAATATCTAAAAATACAATTGAATACTTAGGGTTTGAATCATCAGAAGCCCAGAGAATCCTGTTCCCAGACAAGAGGGAAGCAATCGCTTGAGTTGCGACTCAGACTACCTATTGACAATTTTGGGGATTTTTTGTTAGGAAAGATAGGTTTCTGTTGAATCTGGATACTCGACTTAAGAGTAATTATAAAACCTCTATTTGAGGCCTTAGAGGGAGGAGACCTCGAGCCTTTGATGTGGACTTGAGAGTGTCAGAATGCATTCAATCAGGTTAAAGAAAAACTATTAACTGCCCCAGCCTTGGGACTCCCAGTTTTGAGAAAGCCCTTTCATCTTTTTGTAAAGGGAAAAACAGGATCTTAGTTTGGGAGTCCTGACCCAGAACCTTGGACCCACCAGGAGGCCTGTGGCCTATTTTACTAAGCATTTGGATCAGATGGTCAAAGGATAGTTGCCTTGCCTCTTAGCCATTGCCACCACCTGTGACATACTACAAGAAGTGGAAAAACTCAGGTTTGGGCAGCCCACCATGGTGCACACTCTCCATTGTGTCCTCTTTTTATTAGAACAGAACAAGGATATTGGCTAACCTCAGGATCAGGCTATTTTAGACAACCCAGTGGTAAAGTTACAGGCTATTTCTACCTTAAACCCTGCAACCCTTCTATCTACCAAAGTCAAACAGACTCCCTTTCATGATTGTGTTCAGATGATTGAACAGGTGTTCTCAAGCTGACCTGATCTGACTGACCAACTGTTGGAGCAGTCAGACTGGTAACTGTTCACTGATGGAAGCAGCTTCATGGATCAAGGGCAACAGTGAGCAGGGTATGCAGTTGTCACGCTACAGGACACCATGGAAGCAAAGGCTCTACCTCCAGGTACTTCAGCTCAAACGGCTGAGCCTATAGCCCTAATTAGGGCTCTTCAAATAGGTAAAATCAAAAGAGTACAGACTCAAAATGTGCATTTTTAGTGGTCCATGCTGTAGGGGAGGAAGACATTTCCTCTACCCTGTCTGGGTTCTTCTGGCCGGAGAATGAATTAAATTCACATGAGACAGAATGGCAGGAGAAAATTAAACAAAGCTTTATAACATGTATGCATGGGAGAGGCTCAGGCAAGCTGAACAACTTGCCAAAATGGCTGAAGCCACCACCTTAAATATCATATCCAGCTAAAGACAAAGGAGGATGTTGGGGGTGGGGGAGTCAGTTACAGGAGCTTACCAGACAAGCACAAAACAGGAGTAAGAAGGAGTAAGATTATTATGCAGATTTAAGTCCTTGCCTTTGGCATGATTAAGGGTTTCTAGAGATAAGGTCATCCCCCCTTCTTCCTGGTACAGAGAGGGAGGCATCTTTACAGATGGAGATTTCCTTTACAATGTAAATGTCTCCTAACAAAGGGTAAGTAAACTCTGATTCACAGAGCTCCTTTCCTGTCTGCAGTTTTTATTAAAAGTAACCAGCCCAAAATAATCCTCATGCCAAAGAGACATATCTTGGGGTGGCCAATTCTAGGCCTCCACAATGCTCATGGGGCCATATGGAAAGTGAGGGGATTCTTGCCTTCTAGAAAGAGGGACATCAAATATTCCCAGGAAATATTGAACTTATTAGAGGTCATTAACGACCTATGGCAGTAGCCATCATGTACTGCCATGAACATCAGAAACGAATTTGTTATAGCAGTTGATCTGGCCGCGGCAGCTCAGGCAGAGTTCAGGGAGGTCATCCGCGAGGGCGGGATCGTCCCTGCGCTGGGGGTGGATAGAGATGAGGGTGGGAGGAGCGACTCCTGGGAGATTGGAATGCGGCTATGTGGGGAGCGGTCATCACTACTGCTGTCCCCGGCAACCTTGGGCGTCCGCCGGCACGCGCGGGTCCCCTCCACCTGGCGGTCCCCCGTACTGCCACAAGTAAACTCCACAGGCTCGGCTGCGGTCCTGCGTGGGGCCGGTCGTCGGAAGTTCCTCCACGGAGTTTTTCCAAGACCCACTCCGGAGACAGTGACGGCTTCTGCACCCGCGCTGGCCAGGGAGGACGCCTTGGGTGGAAAAATGCAACCGGAGCAGGAACGGCCCCAGCCGGCGGCCGGCTGAACGGCAGGGCGACCTCACCTGCCTGCGACCTGGATCCCTCCCGGTGATATTCCAACTGGGCGTTAGGCGCCGCCCGGCGTGGCTTTTGTATCCCCAGAAGAGATGGAAATGTGGCGGCATTAAAGCGAACTAGTTAAATTCTGTTAGGGTTGTGATTCACCCTGGGGTGAGGACTGGAGAGTGAGAAGATCCTGAGGTTTATAGTAATAATAATTGGTATTGTTGTTCCTTACCATTATTGTAAGTATTACCAATGATTGTAGTTGTTATAAAAACACTGAATAAAATTTCTCTATCCACAAAGACTATCTGATTGAAGAAGATGAAAGAGGGGTTCAGTGTGCGGAATTTGCTAAGTCGGCCTGAGAGCCGGGGACTTCTTGCTCTAACCTGGGAGAGGAGTGGGCCCTGACCCACAGCCTTCGGCAACCAGAAAACCAGACCACAGCCCTCACAGCACTCCGCCCCAAAGGGGAAGATTTGGTCAATGACTGACAGTTTCCCTCATTTTTAATCCCACTTCTAATTTAGGAACAAGTAGGGAACGACGAACATGTTCCCCTAAGTAATCACATAAGATGGCCCAGGTCTAGCTGCCCGGCCTCCAGCTTCCCCCCTCACAAGCTCTGATCAGGACTGCATCTTCTTTTTTTCCGCAAGAAAGCTTGCCAACTCCACCTGCCTTTGAGTCTCTGGAAACTCTGAGTGGTGGCAGCTTTAGAGCTAGCTCTGAGAAACAGTGCTCCTTCTGAGTTGGGTGGTCTTGGCTCGTCTCCAGAGGCTAGCAGTGTGGGAGCCAAATAAAGGACTCAGAATAATAGGGTTTCTCTTATTAACTCTTTTTTTCAAAATGCTTTATTTATTTATCCATACAATCTTAGAAATTGAGATATAATTCACATACTATAAATTTACTCTTTTAAAAGTATACAACTCAGTTATTCATAGTCTATTCACAAAATTATGCAACCATCACCATTATTCCAGAACATTTTCATCACCTCAAAAAGAAAGTGAGGTTCAGGGCATCTGATACAGCATGGTGACTCCAGTGACCAACGCTGTATCGTGTACTAGAAAGTGGCTACAAGAGCAGAGCTTCAATATTCTCGCTGTAAAAACAACAAAATAGTAATTATGTGAGACAAAGTATGTGTTACGCTTATTGTAATAAGTGTTTCACGATGTATCCATCTATCAAATCATCACATTGTACACCTTACGCTTACACAATGTTGTATGTCAATTAAATCTCAATAAAACCTGGGGGTGGTGGGGAGGGCACTGGAAGAAACTCAGCACTGACTAAACTTCCTATTCCACACTCTCCCAAACCCGGGGAAGCCACCAGTCTGACTTGTTTCTCTCTGTATGGATTTGCCTATTCAGAGTATGCTGAAACCCTAACCCCCATTGTGATGGTGCTAGGAGATGGGATCTTTGGGACATAATTAGGTCATGAGGGTGGAGCCCTCATAAACGGGATTAGTGCCCTTATAAAAGAGACCCCAGAGAGCGTCTCCCGTGCACTGGTGAGAGCCCTCTTCTCCTACCATGTGAGAATACAGCAAGAAGACAGTTGTCTGCAGCCCCATCTTGTGAGGAATCCTTCTGCAAGGGGTGCACTTTTCAAATGCAAACCCACCAATCCAGTGTCTATACCCCCAACCACTTCTTCTATCAGACTCTCACACTCTGGTCCTCTATTCACCTGCCCCAATCACCTAGGGCCACATACCGGAAAATGAGGGACAGCCCTTATGCCCCAGAGTCCTGAAATTATTCAAACCAACCAATCTTAAGCCTGCTTACCCTGCCTCGCTATTAATTCCTGAGGAAACCTCAATAAAGACTCTTGCCCACATTCCCCCCAACCCTCTCTGCCTCCCGACCACCCTGGTGTTTCCCTGTGTGGCCATTCCCAATGTAGCGTGTGCCCTCCTCTGGGGACTCTGAGAAAAACTCTCTTTTCGGTGGTGATTGTCTCCTGATCTGTTGACCTTACTATATACACTATAAATACATGATATTTTAAAATAGTAATGAATGACAAAGCACCAATTAGGCACTTTGAAGAATGAACAAATGATGAATGAACTATACGTCTTTTCATAATATTTTCCAGTTTAATATTTTTAATATATATTAGAATTAGTTCCTTTTCCTCTTAAAATCGCAAGCTTCATAAGAGTGGAGGGCATATCAGAAATTACATGGACAAGACCAGACACCTGGGAAGTCCTAAATATCTTTCCCCAAACTGAGAACACGGGACAAGCTTTCACCGATTCCCAGTCACTGCTTTCATCCTGCAAGTGGCATTGCTTAGTTTTTCAAATTCAGCTTTCAGATTTGTCAGTTTAGCAAGGAACTCGTCAGTTCCAAACTCAACTTTCTAGCAATAATCAAGTTATACTACACATGAGACAGCCCGTTCCCTGAGTTATATAATGAGAATCTGCAGATATTAGCAGGGAAATAGCCCAGCCCATTTCAGAACAAGGTGCATCTTTGGGAGAAGTGGGTGGGCCTGGGAGACACCAGCTCCAGACTTGTTTACTTGCGGGAATCAACCTTCATGCATTAGATTTCCAGAGAAGTGCCTGGAGAGGGGGTGGGTGGAAGCGGAGCTTGGCTGACACCCCATGGAAAGCAGGGCTGAAAATTTCAGACAGATGTGACCCCGGGAGCAGCTTGTCCCAGAAGCCCACAGAAAGTCCCCTCCAAGACCGCCATCCTGATCAAGGTCCAGCTGCTGTAACAAAGGGCCCCACAGAAGAGCGGTGCACAGAGCTAGCCCCTCTCATACACTCAGTCTGGAGGCAAACGGTCTAACATTGGTCTGGCAGGGCTGCTCCAGGAGCCTCCTCTCCGTGTTGCCCTGTCATTCCAGAGGAGTTGCCCTCATCAATGTGCATCAGGACGGAGCTCCAGCTTCCGAGCTCATGCTCCCAGCAGCAGGACAGAGGAAGCAGAAAGAAGGGCCTGCTTCTCTCTCCTAGAAATATCCTAGAATCCTCACAAATTGTTTCCTTTCCCTTTCTGGAGAGAGAGCTTTGTTACACACCTAGCCTAGCTGCAGAGGAGGCTTGGAACTCTGTAGTCCCGGGTGGCCACATGCACAGCTAAAATTCAGGTGTTTGGTTGCTCTGAGAAGTGGACAATGCTATTGAGAGACACCTGGACCTCTCTGCCACACCCCTTTTAACATTTCCTCACACCACCCAACCACTCCTTACCCTAAATTTATGTTTTATTAGAGATTGTTCATCAGATAAGCTGCATTAAATAATTCATAATTCAAGAACAAGCTGAAAATCATGGGCCAGTGGGTGCTTTTTATTATATTTGATGGCAAATCACTGGTGGAACCCGATTACTAACTCAGGATTTCTGCCTCGCATAGGCAACAGGGCAGGGAAGTGGGGGAACAATACTGAAGTACCAAAGGGGAGCAGGAGGGCTCAGGTGGAGGCTCCAAACCCCAGGAGGAAAGGAACATAGGCACCCACCTGCATTCAATTCCCTGAGATAATGTCACAGGGAAGAAAACACCCACAATTCAGTGAAGCCAGATTTAAAGACTTAGGCAAGATTCTCCTCCTCTATTCCCCATCAGCCAGAACCTCCATGGGTACTACATCTGGAGTTGAAAGTAGTATATTATTTTCCGTATCTAATCAGCTAGGATTCAGAAAACTTGCACTAATCAAGGTGGTGAGGATGCAGTGGGACCGGCACTCTTAGGTGCATCCTCTGGATGGTGCCACTTTTCTGGAGCATCCTTTGCCAATATGTATTAAATAAAAATGTAGGAGCCAGCCCTGAGGCATAGTGTTTAAATCCAGTGAGCTCTGCTTTGGTGTCCTAGGTTCATGGGGCTGGGTCCCAGGCATGGACTTAAATCACTCGTCAGCCATGCTGTGGAGGCATCCCACATACAAAGCGGAGGAAGATTGGCACAGATGTTAGCTCAGGGCTAATCTTCCTCAGCAAAAACAATGTGAAATGTTCATAGCCTTTTACCTAGTAATTTTACTTCTGGGAATTTAGAGGAAGAAAATAACCAAAGGTGCTGGCAAAGATTTATGTACAAAATGCTTACTACAGCATTATGTATAATGACTGAAAATTGGAAGCAGCTTAAATGCCCTATTAATAAGAAAACTGTAAAGACAATCAGAATGTACTATACAATAAATACTATATTGCTTAAAAACCTACTTTTGAAGGAGTTTTGGCACCATGGGGGAATAAAATAGAACTTTCTAATGAGGGCTGTTAGACTTCCTGGATTCCAAAGGGGACTCTTGGTTTTCTCCCTCAAATCTTGTTTCTTCTCTATCTCAGTAAAAAGTACCACTATCTTCCCAGTTCAAGTCAAAAATAAAAAACTTGCTCTTGATTCTTCCTTTTCTCTCTCACTGGGCAGCCACTTCCTCAACCAGTTGCAGGGGCTACCTTCTAATGCCTCCCGTCCCCTCCCCTCCCTACTCCATCCCTTCTCTGCTCATCCATGCTCTCCCCCTCCTGCCCCCCCCCAAATTTCCGGTCCAGACTAGGTCTTCTTTCTCAGATGACCAGTGACCTCCTCCTCCGGGGGTGGGGGGAGGGGCTCTGACTTCCACTCTCCCACCCAGAGCCCACTGTGCACATGCAGCCGGAGACATCCTCTCCAATGGAAGTCAATCATGTCACTCCCTCCCCAACCTCTCCAGTGGATCCCCTGCTCCTTAGAACAAACCCCAAAGCCCTTCCTGCAGAACTGAGCTTGGACTACTGAAGGAGACCAGAGGCAGCCACCGGCCCAGCCAGCTAAGGCCCAAAGCTCACAGAAGAGAAGGAGAAAGTCTTGTTAGCAGAGTGTTGTATTATCAAAGCTGGCTGCTTTTCAGGCCTGAGCTGGGGGATATGTAAGTTTGGATACACAGAGCAAAATGCACTAGTGGGAAGCGGTCACTGAAACAAGGTGTGCTTGTCCTACCCCCACTCCCTAGCCTCGCTCCCCACCTCTCTTGTGTGTGCCTAACACTCCAGCTTCCTTCTGTTTAGAATGCCTCCTGTCCATTTCTTGAGGTCAGAGCCATGCACTGGGGCCCAGCTAGATGCCACCTCCTTCAAAACACTGTCCTGATGCTGCCAGCAGCAGGTGAGTGTCTGCTGTGCTGGGCATGTCCTTCCTCTGTACCTGTGAACAGGTGACTGTACTGTAGTTAGCTTCCTGTCTTGTCTTCCCAGCTGGACCATGCTCTTCAGGTTGGATCTATGTCTGATTCATCTCGGAGAGCCCAGTGGAGTTTGGCCAAGTTCCCAGAACAGAGTAAACCTCATGGACAGAGTATCTGTGGGAAACTGAACAACTCAATGTGAGTATAAAGTGCAAGGAGGGGTGGTAATGAAAAGGTCTGCAAGGGGACAGGTCACAGAGCATCCTGAAAGCCCAGTAAGAACCTGGGACTTGCCCTGAAGGGAATGGGAGCCATGGACAGATTTCAAGGAGAGCAACACTGGTTGACCACACAATGGGGCTGTTTAGCATAAAGAAAACCAAAATGGGGGACATGAAGGGAGAGTGACAAGACTCCCAGCCCACCCCCAGCCCTCTTCTCACTTCTCCTGGCCCTGCATTCAGTGGGTGAAGGAAAATCTTCTCTGACTGGTCAGATGCCAGGACTGTCCCTGGGCCATCTCATGAGAATGTTGAAAGACTGCACGCAGTGCAACTCAGCCTCATGGGAAGCAGCCAGGGGCCTCCTGGATGTTCCTCAGGAAGCTTCTTGATAGATATCTGAAATGACAAATCCACTGCTTAAAATGGAAATGCCAGGGAGATTCCTGGGAATCTTGAACTTGTCTTTTAAAAGCCATCTTTCTGCCATCCCCTCCATCCTTCTGGGCTGCTGTCTCTTACCATGAATGCTCCCTCTGGAACCCCAGGAGGTCTGGCTTCCCGTGGAGCTCCCTTGGAACCTTGAGCAGGCTGAACAGCTCATACCTCGGTCAGGACTCTTAGAGTTACTGCTCTGTGCTACTGATGTAAAAGGCGCAATCATCACAGTGGACAGGCCCAACTCTTCATTACAGTCAGAAAACTCAGCTGCACATGGAAGTGACACTTAGCCCACTTTGGGGGCCCAAACCCATGCCACTTCTCTGACTCCCCACACAGGCTGGCTCACAGGACTTTGTTATCCTATTATGGACCTCTTGGTTTTAGATAATAAAGGTCATAGGATCAGAAATTTCCCTTGGTTCTTCTGAAAATGTGTGGTAATGTTAGTACACAGTTGTTGCCTTTCTGCCCTGCAATATGGCTCACAGCCTTGTCCCTTCAGGACCACATTCATTGCTATTGGAGATTACTAGGATAATTCTCTTCAGTCATTTTTCTGTTTAGTTGTTCTGATTAACTCCAAGTACTACATCACTACATGCTCTCAAGCTGGAGCATGCACAGCCCCAATTCTGTGCAGGAAGGATGAAAACAGTGTATCTGTGATACAGGTTTTGGAGCATCAATTTTATTACAAGAGTTGGAAGAATTAAGCACCTTATAAGAACTATCGCCCACCCCTGCAAACGTGGAAGAAAAGATGGAGAAGAGCATGGGAGGGGAAAAGTGCCCCAGGAAAAGCAGTCCAGTCTCTGAGGTCTCACCCAGCTGGAGGCCAGGGACAGACCTGCAGCCAGGGTGGCCTCTGCTCTCCCCAAGGCACCTCCAGGCCATCCTCTAAGCTCACCAGGTATTTTGGGTATGATTTTTCTAAAGGCCAGGAGGTGTCAGATACCCTCTTGATTTGAATCCCATGCAGAGAATGCCACAGCAGTTTGCACATCTCCATCATCTACTTGACCAAGTCCCCTTACCTGGGTATACTTGCACATACAGTGTACTTCTTGCACTACTCCCACCTGCAGCTGATTCCCAGTCCTCCTCAGGCCACTGATTTTCTGCTCCGCAGGACCAGGTGGCACCAGCGGGCTCACTATAACTGCATTTCACTGGGTGCACAAAGGCCTTCAGCTGAACCAGGAAGGCTGGGGAGGGACTTGTGGGGATCAGTGAAAGGGGAGGGCCTTAATAAGGGTCCAGTAACCAACCCCAAAGAAATAAAGCCCTGTCATTTACCTGACAAAGAATTCAAAATAGTTGTTTTAAGGAAGCTCACTGAGCTACAAGAAAATATAGAAAGACAATTCAACAAA